AAAGGTTCAAGCTTTTGTACTGTACAAAACACTTGAGCACAACAAAAGCATTTCAGGTAAAATCATCCAACCACAGTTCACATTTGGATTCTGGTTTAATTTTATTCAGCCACTATGATATGATGGTTCATTTTCAGATGCAGCATTGGCTTGAATTAGCTAATATTGGAATTTACAAATCTTCCTACTTTCTTCAAGATCAAAACATTGTCTAATGGTTTCTATATTTCGGAATACTGAGGTTGTCATTAACAGAGTTTAAAAAGGGAATTTACAGTACTAACTCTTATTTCACACACTTGTCTTCCTCCTGAGGTCACATAGTTCAGGGGAACAGTGGAGAAGTGAGTTATTACCCCCAGTCTCTAGTTGAAATTGATTTTTTGGTATTGTATGATTTTGTCTGTGCATTTAATTTTTTAGTGAAGGTCAGTTGAAGATTACACTCCCTTTTATTAAGAATACAATTTTTTCTTTAAGTTTCTCTTTTTTTCTGTATATTTCATGTGACAGTTTTTTCTTTTCCTCGGCACATTAGCCTTGGTCTTTGAATGTGCGTATGAGCGACATGCCATGAACACATGCCTAGTGACGAGTGCACGCACGTTGCATTTCCATCAATGAAAAAATGAATGTAACATCAGAGGTAGTACCCAGTATCAGGATGTAATGGCACTCACAATTTACCAATAGCCTCCAGGCGGCCCTATTTGTTCTGTCGGTGACATTTATGTAAGGGGAGCATGTAGCCAATGTAATGTGACTAAAGCAGCATTTTGTCTGACTCACATAAAATCCAACTTTGGGAAGTGGGAGTTTAGTGGCTTCAGAAAATTCAGTTTTAAATGGATTATCTATTTGCGATCTACTCAGTAAACCATAATGAAAATGTGTTTAGTAACTTTTGCTAATTTATTAAAAATCAACAATGAAATATCTAATTTACAACCTTATGCAGACACTTAGTGCAACACTGCAAATTGTGTGTTATGGTGCATTGTTTGTTTTAAAAACATTTTTAAAGCTGTGAGTGTTTTCCCAGAGCACAGCTGCAAAATGGAAGAAGTCTGGACCCACCAGGACACTTCCTAGTGTTGGTTGTCAAATGGAGTAACCAGGCAAGAATGGCCTCAGTCAGGGAGACACCCAGCAGTCACTCTAACAGAGCTTTAGATGTTCTCTGCAGAGATGGGAGAACCTGCTGCAAGGATGACCATTATAACAGCACTCAGTCACTCGGGGCTTTAGAGTAGAGTGCTTTGATGGAAGCCACTCGTACATAAAAGGCACATGACAGACATCTTGGAGCTGAGAATGGGGCGACAGTTCATCTTTCAGCACAGCAATGACCCGAAGAACACAGCTAAGACAACGCTCGAGTGACTTCAGGAGAAGTCTGTGACTGTCTTTGAGTGGACCAGCAAAAGCCCAGACTTGAACCATCTAGAGCATCTGTGGAGAAACCTGATGGAGAAACATGATTCCCATTCAGTCTGCTGGGCAAGAGAGAATGGGATAAACTTTCCAAATCCATTATTTGCAAAGCTAACCCAAGAAGATTCAAAGCTGTAATTACTGTCATAGGGGATGATACAGACTACTCAAAGGTCTGAGTACTTATGTAAATAACAGTTTTCCATTTTTGATTTTTAATAAATGTGCAGAATCTTCTAAAAACATTTCACTTTTTCTTTATGGATTATTAAGTGTGGATTGATAGTGTAGATTTAAAATTTAATCTACAATACAAAGTGTGCAAAAACTGAGTCTGAATACTTTGTGAACTCTGAATATATAGGAAATCAGTGGTTTTATAGCAAAACACAGGTTCAGTTGGGCTTTGATGGTTTGTAAGGAGCTTATACTGCTCACTGACTTTAACTAAATGTGGATTTTTGTAATGTATGGAAATACAAATAGTTATTTTACATACTGTATATCACCAAATTGCACCATTAAGTAGTCACTAATTTTCATTTAGAATTCCTGTTCTCTCCTCTATTCCTTTCTCATTCTCCACCTCCATATGACTCCAGATTGGTATGATTTTGATTATATGGATTTTCTTACTCTGTACCTCGCCAAAGTGCTGGTCAAAACTGATAGAGATCTAGGTGCCAAGAACCAGCAATTCACTCAACAAATTGCCCATTTTGTTTGCCTCATCCTGTTGGATAGACAATCCTCCATTTCAGCAAACTAGATGCTATCTGCAGCACTTTTGTATGTACTCAGTATCTGTTGGACAGTAAATGGCTTTTTCACAGGCCATGGTTTTTTTTAAAGGCCTTGGACTTAATAGATAAACATTGGTGTGCCGCCGGATCAAGCCAGTTGCTAAAGGTCTAGTTTAGTAGTCTGTAGTTTAGTACACTATAATTGTATGTTCTCCTTAAAGTAATTATCGTTTTTAGCATCGTAAGTTTCCATATTCAAACATGTTCAAAATTTGACTTGATATTTGTATTAAAAAAGGAAACTCCTGGCTGATACAGGCTGTATTAACACATGCTACATGTGGTAATGTTTTCATTCAGAAACAGTGAGAACATGTCTGCCATTTCCTGGCCTTAGGTTTGTAATTAAAAGCCACATTCATAGTAAGAGTGTTTCAAGTGATGGATCATCAGTCCACTTGGGCCAAATTGAGTGTGATGATTTATGTCCAACTAATCTCTGCAGCAGCTCCTCCACATTTGGAGGGAAAGCATCACAAAAGGGCATTGTAGTGTAATGGCACTATAGGGCAAAACCAGGTGTAAGCCTCTTCATCCCACCTACATGCTACTGCGATATCTCTCTCGTTGGAGACACTCATTAGCAAGTCGAGACTCAGCCAAGCAGCTGTCACACCTACAAGCTTGTTTCTGTGATCTAGAAATAATGTCACACATCAAGAGGGTACTATTCCTGTTCATGATGAATCATAAATGCACTGTGTGTTTTGATGTTTCTATGGCTTAACCCCATGAACACCAGGCCTGTTTCTCAATTATGATTTATAGATTTATTCTTGACAGCAGTGTAAAGTAGAGAGGCACTGATCCAATTCAGCAGATCTGCTTTGATGCTGACCTTACTGTATTAAGCAGATTGGGTATCAGCAATGATGCGAGTGATCCACAGTGTCTTTGTCAGTGTTGTTCTAATTGAGTAGTTCTGTTATGAGTTCAGTCGTGGTGGGCCAACAACTTAATTTTTTTTGTGCTCATGTGAGCTTACATAAAAATAATCCCAATGGTTTCCAAGCAATGATTTGTAAAGATTTTAAATTTTGGAAAATACAGAACTAGTAGCAGATTGATACTCTCTATCAGCAAGTACCCTGAATTAAAGGTTTGGAATCAGTGCAGGGACAGAAAAGGTTGGATTGTTATATCCTTGTAAAGCACAGGCTATAGGAGAAATGTCTTACCCTTCTCTGTGAGCCTCCCCCTTCTCCAGTTCCTGGATAACCCCTAGCAGCACTTTGATGGTCTCTTGGCTGGAGCTGATGAGATTTTCCATAGCCTGGAGCTGTGCTTTAACATCCCCCTCCTGATTGATAGGCACTATTTGCTTACAGGCCTCCTGTGTTTGGTCAGGTGGTGCGCCACCAGCCTCACCACCCCTGCAGGGAAACGGAGGCTCTTCCATGCCCCTAAGAGGCCTGGCAGATAATTGTCCGGTGTGGCACTGTACCTGTGTTATACAGCCTACGCTAGAACGTGGTAGTGTGTCACTCTGCAGCCCATTGAGCTGCAGGCCTTTCTTCCGCTTGCTCCGCACGGAGGGACTGTCCAGACACTCCACTTGTGTAAGGGAGTTCCAGGCGATGGGGCCCGTAACCTTGGAGGCCCTGTCCGGCAGGGTTTGAGATGAGCCCCCCTCCATGCTCAGCAGCTGCCTCTTAGCCAAGCGCTCTGTATCGACTTGCCTGTGTTGTAATCCTGTCCTGGCTTTGGATGGGGCACTGCAGAGCTGGTACTCTGCCTGTGCTCCGGCTCCACTTCCTCTTGGTGTGTCTGCAAGGCAGTCTGTGTCTGCAGAGCAGCTGAGCAGCAGAGCGTCAGAGCACAGGCCATCAGGTGCTGTGTGCTGCTCCACTGTGCCAATGCACTCATTAGTATGGAGTAGAGCCCTGGTCCTCCGAACTCCACTCCTTCCACAGGCTCCCTCGTCCTCCTCCTCATCTAAACCTTGCTCAGCAGCCTTGGACTGTTTCACCTCCATGACAAAACCGTTATTTTGACCTTTATAAGTTTCCACAGCCACCACGTGTTTAAAGGTGTGGCCTTTTTTGCGCTCAAAAGGAAAGGTCTGATAGCGTTTCTTCAGGTCGGGGGACGTCTGCACGCCTGTGCTCCTTGTGACATTTGGGATGGATCTGCGAGCAGGAACGGTCATGTACTTGTGGTATGCCACTTTGTATGAGATCGGCTTGCCACCCTTCCCCGCTGCCTGCAACTCTGCCTCCCTTTGCTCGTTCTGCGCCTCACAGATATCCTTAAAACGCACTTGCAGGGCCTTGTTTCTCTTCCTCACCTGTCGACTGGCTTCCAGGGAATACTTCACCTCCAGTGCCAGCGAGGTAGAGGGCAAGGACGCTGCCTCCGAGTCAGACTCTGAGTTGGTGAGCATGCATTTGCCACCCTCCTTGCTCACCATGTTTCCTGAGAGGCATGGAGAAAGACGCTGTGTTAATCACTGGTAATGAATTTCTTAGACAAACACTCTTGCCTGACTGTTACAGGCCACTCTATAGAACACACACACTATAAGTTTTACAGAGAACGAAAGGACCCGTGCAGTTAGGCACTTGTCATTATGCATAACATCAAGCATAGCAAATACAAAATTTAACAGCATTTTTTCACATACTTGAAGTCGTTTTACTTAATGATTCTATTATTCAAATCTAAAGTTTCCATATGCATGTACATTAGTAGTATATTTACCCTTTTCTGTTTATTGCCATTTTGCTTTTACATTTATCCAACAACTGCAAGGGTTATGGCTGTTTCATGCGTTAAAACACATTTTGTTTAAACACATTTCCCTGATGCATTTAATTGTCTTTTCTGTAAGGCCAAAAACTCCAATTTCCTCATTTTTTTCACTTATCACTGTCAGTTAAAGCATCTTTCACTGCCAGTTCCTCCTCCTCTCCCAGTTCCTTCAAATTGATGAGTGTTTCTTTCTCAGTTGTTGCGGGTGCTTTTGCAGTGGCTATCATTCACTACTGTACACACAATCATACACACTCTCAGCAAGTCAAATACACTTATTTGACAGTAGCAGTACTGAAGACTGCCTGTGGTCTGCAGTTTATTTCCATGATTCATTAGGTTCAGCTTAACTCCTCACTGTCTGACCTTTCCTTCTCACAGTTAAGAATTAAGTAAAAATAGTGTTCAGGGCTTCTTTTGGGGGTAAATTTGCACTCCCTCATCATTTTCCATTTGAATGTTGACAAAAGTAGGATGTTACCTGCAAACAGACAACCTTGTCAAAGAACTGTACAACCCTCTGTGGCAAAACATCGTAAGCAAAGATAATGAATTATCTTTCCCCACTGATACAATTATGGTAGCGCTTCATGACTCTGCAGTTTACCTCTGAGGCCCTGACAGAAATACAATTCTCGTTCTGCGTGTTGATTTACAATAAGCAAACATTCCACACACTCGTATAGATGCTGAACCAGATTGGACATTTATCCTTCTCAGCTTATCTGCTATGACTGCTCTTTGTCAACAGGGAAGGACTTCCTTTTTCAAACCTTAATGTTTGCTTACCGGGGAGCTAGAATGGATATTTAGTCTCACTATTCCATTACATTACCAGTCTGGCTCTGTATTATTAAACTGTAGCAGGAAAGGTCTCCAGCCCTGGTAAGGAGAAGGACACCCACCTATCATCAGGGATGAAATGAAACAATAATTCACATTAAACCACTTGACCGTTAATTTTGTAGGCTAACCCCATTTGTTGATGTAACGGGTACCAGGCTAGTTATTAATTTGGCCACTATGTTCATGTGGGAGGAAAGTTATAAATGATTACAAAATGCAGACATCTGAGACTGACCTTTTTGAATACTAAGTTTTCAAGGTATGCTGTGGCTATGGGCAAACCCTTAAAAATTCACTAGCGATACAGCAGTCATAGAAATGTACAAGTGCACAAAACGCTTATCCTACAGTTTTTAAAAACAGAATGAGACAGATTTAATAGTTGAAAGATATTTCTATTAGTGTCGATTGACCACTGTGTTGCGTCCATTGCTATGATGTAGCCCATTTCCTCAACCAAGATGTAAGATGTGCAAAACTGTAGGTCACCAGCTGTTGTCACATCGTTATTAGCTACTTAGCCAGCCATATTGCAGCATTTAGGGCCCTTCTCCTTTTCATTCTCCCACTGTCTGCTCCAGGTTTCCTTTTCTGCTGTGCATGATGACCGTTCATTTCACTGGGTGACTTGTCCAAAATTTTACCGGTGGAAAAGCAGCTAGACGGTTGCTCTTTTTTGACACTGCAGTGAGAGAGAGATTCATGCCATCATGTATGGACTGAGAGGTCCCCTTTACTCATTCCTGC